GATGCGCTTCGCCAGATTGTAGTCGTGCACGCGTGGATGGTGTGTCTGGCGCGTAGCCTTGTGCACGGCGAATGCTATTTCTGGCCGCGTGCAGCGCGCCACCTACATCAGGCTACCGACCAGGGACTGGAATGTGCAGATGCTGGGTGCACCATCCTTGCCAGCAACACTAAGGATCGCGCTTACGTCTGACGGCATGTCATAGCAGTCAGGGCCGATCGGTACGCGTGTTGTGCTGGCGCTCTCGAGACCGTGATCGCGCAGCAACTCGTTAATCGATGCTGCCTGGTCGAGCACATACGCGCCGCTGCTGTCGATTGCGACGCGCATGTCGAGGAACTTGCTCACAGTTCCGAGGTCCTTGATAGATAGGCTGTCAAGCTCGGTGAAGAACCGCTAGACCGCTGCCGCGTCAGTGCCCGTGGTGAGCAGGTCGTCGACGTAGACGCCGACGACGACCAGCTGACCGCACTCGACTTCCCAAATAGGCACATGACGGAGATGCACTGCCGGAAGCCGGCCTCGAGCAACCGAGTGTGGAGCAACTGGCTCCAGAGACGACCAGACTGCTTTAGGCTGTACATGATCTTCTTAAGCTGCAGCACGGCCTCTTTCCTGTGCATGACACCTATCATCTTGAGCGTGTCCTCGCTGATGTCCAACGCATGCGGTATTTGTAGGAGGATTTCCAGGTGTGCTTCTTTATCCGCCTTGACGTAGGCGTTGGGGATGTCGCCTTGCTTTTCCGGGACACCCCACGTCGCCGCCAGCGCTAGTATCACCTTCACGGTCGACATTTAAATGACGGCCGCAAAGGTGAGCTGGTAGTCGACGCCGAAAACCTTCTCGTTCCCGCAGGCTATCAGTAGAGCCTTCAAGCGCTCAATATCGCCGTGAGCGTCTGTATTCATCTTGAAGACCCACTTCGTGTGCAGCGCGTTGCTGCTAGGCGGACGCTTGATCTCGCCACACGCCGTCGGCTTCTAGAGCTTAAAGCTCTTCCTTCATGGCTTGTTTTCAGCCAACGCGCTTCGTACTGCGCAGCGCTTCGTACTGCGCAGCGCTTCACCGTAGTTCCTCGGGTCGCGCTCGTACACGTGTGTCAGCATGTTGTTGCTGCGCGTTGTCTCCTCATGATCGCCAGTCGTCTACGCGCGATTTTTCGCGCCGCGAGTGTCCATGACTTTGCCATCTTCTTCACGATGCGGATCGCTGGCGCTTTCGCTGATTTCTTCTCTGTGCGATCCTCGTACTCTAGTGCACGCTGCAGCTATCCGTTCTGATCTGCACTTAGCGTCTCGATGTTCCGCACGTGCTGCGTCGTCGTCACCTTGTTATACTCTTGGAGAAACACGCTGAATCACTTGGTGTCTTCACTGCGCCCAATGATGACGCCGACTTGCGCTCGCTGCGCGAGCGCGTTCTTGCACGGGTCTCGATAAACTAAACACATCGACCCAAATTTGACGATATTGCACAGGTCCGGCGCGTGCTTCGTCAGCACCTCGATCACTGACGCGCGCTTCGGGCTCGCGCTCGTTGGGCTGCGGTTGAGGATGTACGCAGCGTACTCAACCGCGTCGCCCCAGAACTTCACGGGAGTCGGCTCGCAAAGATCATGCTGCGCGACATATTGAGCACCGTACTGTGCATGCGCTCGGCCTTTCCGTTTAACGCCTGGTTCCGCGCCTCGCTCATCTGTCGCGCGACTCCCGTCTGCTTACAGAAGATGTCGAAGTTGGCGTACTCTCCGCCGCCGCCCGTACAAAGCACGTGAACGCGATAGTCGAACTGGCGCTCGAAGAAGACGAAGAAGTGCTTGAACTTCTTCTCAGTCTTGTTTTTCGTCGGCGCCAGGAAAACGCGACAGTAAGTAGACTTGTGATCGACAAAGTTGACGAGGTATCGATTTTGCAATCGTTCCTTCGGGGTAATGGGACACTTAAGGTCCGAGCAGATCACTCGACCAAATTGTCGATCGGCGAGTTCGCACCAGTGTCCTTGCGCGACTGTGCGATCCTTGCCTGCTTCCCTTGCGCGCACGAGATGCAAGTGGTTGCTTGCGGTCCGTGATCCCGGATGCGGGGTCCTTTGCCATTCTCTCGACCGTGTTGTACGCGAGGTTACCGAGCCGATGGTGAAAGTGCAGCAGCAACCCGCTGTGCTTGTCCGCATTGATATTCTTGGTCGCGTCGTCGCGCTTCAGGATCGACATGAGCACGTCGCTCGGCGCCAATGGATCGCGAGCTACCGCCACCGTCCGCACGTACAGCACGTTGTGGTCCATAAAAACGTCGAATGCAAAGTGGCCATCGTTTCGTCTCGCCAGCACGCGTGACTCGCCGTCGTACGTTAAACCAAAACCCTTGCGCTCGAGCTTTCCATGCGACATGATGTTGCGCAACAGCTCGGGCGCGAGGTACACTTCAGTGAGCGTGACCTTCTGTTGCCTCCCTTTTGTGAGCACCGTCAGTCCCACACTGCCGACCCGTAGCAGCTTGACGGTCTTACCGTCTGCTAAGTGGCATTCCTCTTCGGCATGCCCGCGCGTCGCGCATCAGGGACGCGTTGTTTACGAGGTGGCGGCTGAAACCTCTATCGAGAATATAGTCGTTGTCTTCGTCGTCGCTGTACTAGCCAATCGCCATTGTCAGGTCTCGCCTTGTGGCGCGCGAGCCGTTGCTACCTCGCCCTTTGCCGACAGCGAGTGTGATACTGCCGATTTCCTTGGAGGTATCGCTGGTCCTTGTGTCGCCATTCTTCTTGCTGCGACATTCTCTCTTTAGATGACCAACCTTCCCATATCCGTGGCAGGTGTGCGTCTCCTTGCGCGACGCGGATTCGTCCACGTGCGCGACGACATCCTTGCCGAAGAAGCGTCCCGGTCGAGCTTTCATCTCAATCGCTTGCGCGAAGTGCGCAAGCTATTTCGCGTGCACAAGGTAGTCAACGCGTTGCGTCTGGTACCTCGCCATAAAGATCGTCGCCAGCTCTGGAGAGGCGCAGCGCAAGATGTTGTCCAGAACTTGCTGCTCTGCGCCGTCCGTTGCGTCGCTTACCCCTACCAAGTACAGGTAGTGCTCCGGCCAGGACTTCTTGCTCTCTTTCTTGGACGTGAAAATCTTCATCGCTTGAGCGTCGGTAAATGTTGGCATAAACGTGTCGATCATGCGCTGCGTCACGTACTGCAGAGTCGACAGCACGGCCGACCACGTGTCGACCTGCTTATTGAAGTACTCCTTGGCAGTGCCCGTGAGGTACTGCCCGAGCACGTCGGTCTTCACGTTCTCGCTCCACATGAAACCGTAGGCCTCCTGCGCCATGTCGACCTGGCGCCAAAATGTCTTGCCATAGTCCAAAAATCCAGACCCGAGTACGACGTACACCTCGGTGCCGTCGAAGTTTCGGGTAGCCAACTTGCGCTGCCGCGCGTCCGGCGTGCGGTACTGCATCGCGTGTGGCGGTGATGGCGGCTGGTACCGCGTTATGGGAGTGGGCGGCTGCGGCAACGGGTCAGCTCTCTGCTGATGTGCCGGTCTTTATCGCGTCTGTGGACCGTCGATCCGAGATGGTGCGCGTCGCGCTGGTTGCTCGTGCAGGTCCGCGAGCTCAAGCGCGTTGCCGTGGAGTAGCCGTGCGAAGTCCGCGCCGATCATCGATCTGACCATCTCGCTTTCTGCAGCTCCACGCATGCGCTCGTCTTCGTCCATGCGCGTTTGTGACACTTCCATCTTCTGCAGGCGCATGTCCATGCCCGTAAGCATCTCGAGAACCTTTGCCAGTGAGTCCGTCTCCGCGCTCCTTGCGTGAGCTTTGGAAGAGACGACCGCAGCAGGCGCGACCGCGGCCCTTTCGTGGCCGGATGCCGGTCACGCGTGTGCCGCGTTGGTGTCGTCGTTTGCTCCAGTGGTTGGGCTCATAACCTGTTCGCTCGCGATGTCGCTAGACGTAGGAAGGTAGGATAGAGCACTATGGTAACGATATTCTGTCATTTATCTTGTGTTATACCTCGACCTACTTCTCTAGTGTGATCCTTCCTGTCCTCTCGATTAGTAAATGTTGCATATCGTGTCGGGCAATGTATGCACCTTACGAACACAAAGTCATCGGCCGTATTCACCATCGCCGTCTGGCGCGCTTCCTGCGCGGTCGTACTTACAGCGACACTCCGTTTTAACAAAAGCCGTAAGATGCTTCCTACCCGATGTTGTACACTGTGTCACATCATCCTTTTACTACTGCCGAGTCTTCTTTTCATGGTGATTGACAATACAAGTTAAAAGTTGCAGATGGTGAAAGAGACAACCGATTCAATAGACACGGCATCACCACGAAATGGACTCTTCATTGACCCATGACAATGGTTCAAGTTTATGATATAAGGTCATACATACACTTGTAGTAGACCGATCGCTGTAAACTCAAGCATGAACAGCAATGACCACATTGGCTGCACCAAGTCGTAAAGAATCGAGCTTTGGCTGATTTGTATGGAGAAGAAGCTCGTGCATCTCTCGTTTGAATTGCGCACAGCATGTGGTGCTCACGATGAAAGGGCGTGGCAAGAACATCAGAACAGGACGGCAACGTACTACCGCGGTTGGCTTGCACACACACAGCAGATTGCAGGGGCGGTTCCACCTACAAGCTTACCGTTTCGGAAAGGCAATGCATAAAAACTCGAATGACCGATAGTTTGTAGGCAGACTTCGTTGACGACACAAGTCTCCTTGACACCTCCTTCCCACCGCATCCGACTAACCGTTTTAACACCATCATCTACTCACTTCACTCCGTCTCCCGTTGCAATATGCAGCTTCAATCTTGCACATGCGACTGAGTATACTCAGCCCAAATTTGCCTCCATTGGTCCGCATCGAATAAGCATAGACAAAACCAAGTCATATGCGCCCATTGGCGTGGTAGTCACAAACCCATCCCTCGATCCACTACATCTCGTGGTAGTCACAACGCAAGTCCTTCCTCCACTTCCAGATACCATGTCGAAGAAGCCCGAGCCGAGCCCCGTGCGCGTGCGTCTGGCCACCCACGCCGGCTCCTGGTACTCACACGACGAGCAGGAGCTCAAGGCTGAGCTCTCGGGTACGTCCGGACCCTTATCACACAGTCAGCACTCGTCCGCTTGTCACGGTATCTGAACCGGTGTGACTGCAGGTTGGCTGGACATGGCAAATGACAAGGACGAGCAGCCAAAGCGGCCGACACTGCGCGCTATCATTGGCCCCCATGCAGGGTTTCGGTACGAAGAAGAAAAGTCATGGATAAACAGACGAGACGGCGTGCTGCTGGGAGCTGACAGCGTCGCTTGCGTGCAGATATTCGGGCCCCACGGCGGCGTTCGCGTACCATCACTTACTGGACTTGGACCGGGTCAAACGCGTGTTTATTCTCGGACCTTCCCATCATTTCTATCTGCGGTAGGTACTGCTGTGCATTGAGAATAAACTTATGTATGTGTTTTCGAGTGGGAAATCGTCGCTGACAGCAAGATCATTGTCTGTGAGAATCTAGCGGATGTGCTGTGTCCACTGCCCATGAGTACGAGACGCCGCTGGGGAACATTGTGATTGACCGCGAAGTCAATGGGAAGCTCGTGGATTCTGTAGGTCCATGAGAGCTGCGCAGCAGGTCAAGTGCCGACGCCTTTTGTGGTCGACTGACAATGTTCGGCGTGCTGTGTAGGGCAAATTCGCAACCATGTCGATGGATGTTGATGAGGACGAGCACAGCATTGAGATGCATCTGCCCTTTATCTATCAGGTGATTAATTAAGTGCTCCGGTGTGGTGTCAGTATGTGCAAGATGGCTTGTACTTACGCCATGGCTTTGGACTGCAGGTGATGAATGGTCGCAAATTTACAGCAGTCCCGATCTTGGTCGGCAACACTAAGAGCAAAACCGACGAGGAGTACGGAAGGTACGGCGTGAATGTGTTCAGGCGTTTGTACAGCGGTGAGAAGATGAGACTCACTGACGCATTTTGTGCTGTGACGTGTAGGATTTTGGCTCCCTATCTTGAAAGCGACGAAAATCTTTTTGTGATCAGCTCCGATTTCTGCCACTGGGGACCACGGTATGGTCTTAGCACAACATCAAACGATTGTGGTTGAAGTGGGTTGTAACGTGCGAAACTCTTGTGCTTGTTCAGATTCCGGTATCAGCCACATGACTCGACTTATGGAGAGATTCACGAATACATTAAATACTTGGATCATCAAGGCATGGATGTAAGTGAGAAGACTCGATCAGGTGAGTTGCTCTCAAAGACTCATGTTTGCTTGCGCTGTGAACGTAGTTCATCGAGCGCTTGGACGCGAATGGCTTTACGCGATACCTGGAAGAGACAAACAACACAATTTGTGGACGTCACCCGATCTCGTTGTTGCTGCATAGCATCTTGGCCTCGCAAAAGCTGAAGTACACGCTCAAGTTCGTCAAATATGCACAAAGCAGTGCATGCATGCGGTACGGTGACTCCTCCGTCAGCTATGCCTCTGCCATCGTGTACAGTGAACCGTAGTTTGTGTTTATACAACGCAGCCTGGTAACAATTGATCAAAGTAGCCAACATCTTCATTGCATACAAGATCTGGTAACATTGGTGCTTTACAAAGCTTCTCCTAACGATAACACTGCCGTCCTAGTCATGGCGATGGCTCCAAGCACGAAGAAGCCACATCGTCAACAGAGTATTCAAAGCACCGTTCTCACATCTACTTTATGGACCAAAGCTCGGTTTGCACCACGTTTGGCTGTTGATGTGCGTGCTCAAACACGCCAGTGACCGGGCGGCAAGGGTTTTTCCCGGCCAGTAGACTAACAACGATGCAATAAACCCTAACGATTGGCAACTCATTTGGCTTTTACACCCTGGCCTATTGGCTTGACCAAGTTGTTCGTCCTTGGACAAGCTGCCGTGCAGCTCGAGCTTTTTGGCGTTTGTCGGCGATCGGCTTGCATTGAAACAATGTAGCTCTTCTATACGGATCAGTGCTATTTGCTGTCTGCAGGTAGACTCTTCATGATATGAAGAGGAGCTTGACCCGTGGAACTGTTGACCTGTCAAGCTCTAAAACGAGGTTTTAGACGTAAACCTGCATATTCGTAAACATCAAGATTGTCTTACACTAGTGATAGCCCAAACAAGTTTTGAGCCATTAAATCAGATTATAGAGAGAGGTGCCAGCATAGCGGCAATCAGATAATAATGGATAAATTGCAAAGATTGAAAACTTGTACAAATAAAAGCTTCATATCATAATAAAAAAAACGCTACAATCGCTCGATATTTTACTAGCGCGACTAAAAAAGAATACGCCGTCGGCCCTAATTAGTGTACACCACGCTTTTTTTCATTCCGAGTTGCCAACCCTCACAGGCACTAGTCTGTACCACACTATATTGGAATCCACACTGTTTGAGTGTTTGGCATAATATTGTGGACCACACTATTTCTGAATGTTTAAAATTAATGTCAATGATATAATGGTCCTACAAGCATGTGACGACCGCAGTTCCTTTCGATCGAACCCTATATCAAGAATGTAAACCCCCTTAATCGTACAGTGGCCGGCTGTGATGCAAACCCCGTGAAATCGTGCTGCGAGTCCACAGGCGTGGACCAGTTTACTTGGGATAGAAATAATTCTCCGAGGGCTACAGTACCACGTATACCTCGAAAACGTTTGGACGACCGGAAAAGTTCCGTGAAAATGCTATACTGTAGTTGCATATTTCCCAAGTGCCACAGGTTTACATCGATCATCGTAGGCACGTCAACTTTGGGCATGTACTTATAATAGACCTTTCTAGACCCTCCGAGGGTAGTTCAGAAAATTTGAAGCCAAAAATCTACGCAGTATAGTTTTGCGCCGATTTAAAATCTACGCTATGCCATATAGGGCTTATTTTCACTGCAGCATTTGCTCGGCTCAAGGGATCCGGACGGGCTCAGCACCAGAGTTCAGTACGGGCTCGGTACAAGAATTTGGGACAGGCACACCTTCAAAGCGTCTGCAATACTTAGAGATTAGTATCTGCTGTAACTCGGGTAAAAGCATCTCGTGCAACGTCCCGAGACGCCGAGAGAAAGGCCACAACGGATCATTGCCGTGCGTGTGTATGAGAGCCCAGCCGCATCACGCATCTCATTTACCTTCCGGACTGCTTTTGCAGCCAGTTCCTGGAAAAAGCGCTCTCCTGGATTCTTCAGCTTACTTGACCATGCCCCGTCTCGCCGAACAGCATTGGACCATTCATCGGCCCTGATCATCCGCATCTTCTCCTCTTCCCACAGCCTTTTTCATTCGCCCTTCATCTTGGATATGAATAAAAAGTCGCAGGTCTGGACGAGGTGTGTCTAGCATGGTGAGAAGTAAGACATCCTTGTCTTCATCTGCGCCAACGCTGCTAAAGGTTCTCAGATTTATTATGACCTCCGCAGTTGTCGAGGTACATGATGCTCTCTCGACCTTACGGGTCATTCCTGTATACCCGACGCTCTAGGAATAAACTCGAAAAACCTGAAAGAGGAAGTATCAATCGACGGTTGTGCGCTTAATTGTGCTCCTAACAAAAGATCAATTGGAACATTACTTTCCGTTTTGTCACCCCAACCTTTTGGCCCGGTTCAGTACGCAACTACGGGCATAGTATCTGGCAACCCCTGGATTGGATAGCTGCGCTTCGCATTTTGGAAGATGAGCAGTGAGTGCCAATGCTTGAAGTTGCACCACCTATGGTGTGGACTATCATTGTCATTCCTTCTCCACCCGATACAACGTCCGCGTATTTGACATTCTCGTCTCCGCGGAATCCAAGCGCCTGTCCATTGCCAAAGTTGATGACGAAGTGGGTCTCATACATACTATGGATCAGCTCCTCGTGCAGTTACCCTGACTTAAATCCACGATGCAGCTTACCAATGAGATAATTCCCGCTAATATCAATATTAGCCTCCTTTTCCGGGATACACAAAAGATTTCCTGTCTGCATCCGCATCACAATCCAATTCGCATTCAATGATAGAGAGAGAGGTCAGTGCAAGTCTAGCACATCGCTGAACGTAAAGTTGGCTGCTAATGTCACAACTTTACACGACATACTATGAACTATTATACCCAGCAAGTTTTGATCTTGTCAATGACCTTGATGCCTTCAGCGGGATCGAAAAATGTGGGTCCAAACTTCACAGCAAACTCTGTTGAAGTAAGGACGATGTCGCGGGCGATGATGGCAAACAGTTCTGGGGAGGCTTGATTTCAATGGCTTGAATCGGCTACACTCTGCGAAAGGGATGCCATATAACGTTTCTACCCATTGAGCGCGTCGCCGTCCACGTCCAATGACCATTTTGATGGTGACCTGCCTGCTAACCGTCCCAGTCACATTTAATATCGACTTAGCCTTTAACCCACCAAGGTCTTTGACCTCTGCGCGGGACTTCCACCATTGAATACATTTCCTATGATTGTCCTATGGGGATTGTATTACAATGTACACAAATCAGATATGCTGCGAGATCGCTCAACCTTAATACAGCCATCCCTCCATATAGCGGTCCAAAATCTGCGGCGTTTTTGCCTCATTTCTTATGTAAAGCGCTATAATATGGAGCGTCAATCCAAACCCATTTTAAGAAATACATCCATGGTACACTGAGTCTTTTGCATCGATCTTTGCTTTCTAACGTGCTCGGTGATACTTGCCAGCTTCTTGGTCAGTTCGTCACTGTCATGCTGTAGCGAAAGGAAGGATGACAGACAACGACAACATCCTAGAGCCTCGTATGGCCCAATCGTCACCTCATCGGCATTTTCACCATCACTGTCGTTCTCAACCTCCTCACGCTCTATCGTTTCTGAGTCGCACTCGATCGGCTTTTCGTCATCCGCACCGGTGTACTCGTCGACATTGACGCTGCAAGTCAAAATCTGCATAAAGCTGGTCAGCTGGTCCTCAACAGATCGATCAAGGCGTTTGTTGGGGTCGCGTAGTTGGATGAGATCGGCTATCGTTACCGCCCCCACGACAGCACACTTGCTCCAGCATTTGCGAATTGCTTGCTAGGGTACCTCCTCCCAGACCGATATAGCGAAGCACGCAGCCCCCAGGATATCCAATTTTCGGCCGATTCTGGTGTGGATTGCATAGAGGAGCCATCGAACAAATTTCTTTCGATACCGATCGTTAAATGACCAATTAATCTCGATCATAAAACACCCTGATATATTTCTGGTCAAGATATTATCCATCTAACGTACCTGCTTCGAGCGGTTGCAAGTTGCTTTCATATTTGGCGGCAGGAATGTCAGCTTGATATTGTAGCATTCAGCGGCGCCATAGTGACACGAAGCGTTGTCCAACAGGAGAAGCACTCGCCTCCCGTGCATCTTGGTATCGAAATGCCGAAGCCACTTAGCAAACGGTGACCCGTTATTTCACGCAGTATGATTGTTGAAGTACAAAACTTCATTTTTTTGGTGATGGCTTTGCGAAATGCTCGTGGATGCTTCGACTTGCCTATGGCAACGAGATCCATCTTCTCGGTCCCGGTCATGTTGCAGCACATTGCGACTGTGATAAGATCCTTCTCTAGCTTCTATCCGTTGCGCTTGACCGTTTCCAGTGTCTTGATTGGAGTTTGAAGATAGATAATAGATGAGTCGGTAGAATTGAATACATCTCGTGGTGAATATTGGCCAATCAGCTCTTTGAGCTACATTCGATTTACTGCTAGTTGAGCGCGATCAACTGAGTCTGCCACGCCGTGAAGCACATGCTGCTGGATGCCGTGTCGAGCCTCGAAAATTTTGCAGCCACCCATTCGAAAGCCGCAGGTCATGCTCGTTTATCTCTTGAGCGGATCGGATAGAGCGACCTTCTTCTAGTTGTAGACCGTCTGTGAGAATTGCTTTGCCGTGATTGAGACGATAAAATGCGAAGAACGCAGCCTCAAACGCTGGAAACAGCACCTTTTGATTGCGCTTCCTGCCCGTGGCAAGGAAGGCGTTGGATGGTGACTGACGAATCCGTTCTGCTGCCGTTGTGGCTATCCGGAGGCCGAGCTTCTCCCTGACCCGGTATTATATTTGTAATAGGTATATGACTGGTGTGTGTGATGTGCACCCGCGCCTGACTGTTTTGCTCCATTGTGAGAATTGATCGCTTCGTCGATATTTTTCTGAGGTGGAACGGAAGCAAATGTGCAAAGTGGCAGACAATGCGATTATATGGTTAGTTCAGTTGAAAAAAGAAACAGGTGATTGGAGCATGCTGTTGTGTTACCCTGTTTCTCAAGTCTCTTATATAGAGTCAACGCACAAAAATCAAGTGATACAGCTGGCCGCGGGACACGAACTTCCTTGAACAGGAATTTGACCATCGATAGAGGTTCTTATATGGAAAGAAGACTGTACTCAATAATTACGTACTTAATTTGTATATGCTACGGAAATTATACGAGAATTGGCTAAATTTACCGAGTACAACACCTTTCTCGCCGTTTTCATTTGCGTCCTC